AATCATGAATAAATGTAATATAATTTTAAAAAAAAAGTTTATATGACTAACAGTTCTGACTTTCTGAGAATTCTGAGTTTATATCAAGCAAGATATAAACTATATTGCCATTCTGACTTTTTTCCTCATAATTCTGAGTTTACATTTTACAATTCTGTTTTTCCCCAACCAAGGATTAAAAAAAAAAAGGTAATTGCGACTTTTTCATCTAATAATTTTGACTTTTTTTTCTTCTCGCAATTGTGTTAACATCTTGCATATTCAGAGTTTTCTTAGAATTGCGAATTCATTTCACAATTCTGAGATTACGTCTTCCAATTCTGAGAAGTCAGAATTGTAAAATATGAACTCAAAACGGCAAGAACTGAGACTAAATGTCGCAAATACCTTTTTTGTGTTAGAAACAAGTTTCCATAGATAGCAGCTTGTCTACATGCAGCTTGTGGACTCACAAAACTGATGAACAGAATAAAAATAACTCAAATATCCCCATGTGTATTCAAGAGAACAAACAACAAGTCCATTAGAAATACAAAAGAAACAGGACACTGACAGATTCTTTAACTTCAATTGTCTTCTCCTCAATACAGTCCTCTGACAAAAAAGAAGAAAAAAAAAACACATTTCCTTGCCACATGGTCATAAACATTTAAAGCAAAAGCAAAAAAAAAAAAAAAGTAGTAGACATCACGTTTTGTGAAGGACAATGTAGCACAATTATGGATTCCTGTAGTTCAACTCCTGGTTAAACCAAAGAGTATGGGATGGGGCTACTGTACCTGTTTGTCCAAACAATGGAATTAGATGTGGTAGAAGTGTTTTTGAAAACCTTTGTCCTTCAGATTTCAGCCCCAAATCTCATAGTACTTCAACAATCAGACCTGGAGCTGTTCAGTGGTAGGTAACCAGTACCCTTGTGAAGCCATGCTACAGGTTTTAGCTTACCGTGCATATGCCAGACACATCTGCATTTGCTCAAGAGAGCTTTTAGACATGTCTGGGTTGAAAAACCCAATATGATCTTGTTTCTTTTAATGGACACTTCTGGAAATAAACTCCCTCGACACCAGTGGACATTAAAGATGAACTAGAGGGCCGAGAAAGACATGCGACTGGCCTCTAGAGGCTTCCCAGTTTGCATAAAGGTTCAGTCGATAATTAAAAAGATTTCTTCTGGCGACGAACAAGTGCTTGTGGTCAGATGAACTTTATGTTTAAGTTCATGGCTGGTTTTCAGCCCTAGAGGAGTTAGTGAGAGGAAAGAAAACGAGAGGTTTATATGATATGGCCTTTGTCTGTTTGGTTCCCTTTGCCTTTTGGCCTGGAATGCTTCAAGAGTGTAGAAACAGGCCTGAAACCACCAGAAATATTTGGAAGAACAACCAAGAACCAAGTTCTCCAGAAACACCTTCAGTATGTTCTGGAAAGGCCCGTTCTGGTTCATTTTGATCTGGCTTCACAATGTTATCCCTGATCCCAGTCCTGAGACAAAATACGTCTATTAATCCAAGACTACAGTACAAACTCACGTTGTATGCTGCAGTTAATTTAAAACTAAGACCTATAAATTTTATGGCACAATATCAACAACTGCACACCAGACTTTCAGAATACACTGCTTTTCTTTGTAAAACGGTTTCCTCCCAATAAAACTTACCATTAATTAATCTTTGGTCCACATTTTAGAAACATGAAAGCAATCAGATCAGAGCTGTCAATGTATTCCTTTTGTGTGATTACTTATATAAATGGTGCTTAAAATAATTTTGTGTGAATAATTATACAAATAAATGTTCAAATTAAAAAATTAAATTATATATAAAAATACAATTATGAAATTTAATAAAACAAAAATACAAATGTGAAAAACTGTGGAATATTTTCATAAAACATGCAGTTTAATTTGATGAAAAAAGCAAATAATGTAGTTTAATTTAAAATTAACTGACAGCCCTTATTCAGATACAAATGTTATCCATTAGCCACATACATATTAGTACAACATAGCGCCAAAATACTTTTACACACATGTATAGATATTTTCTGAGACAAAGTTCTATTTTCATAGAACTCAAAAAATGAACACTCAATGATGGACAAAACATTTTAGCGCCACATCCTTGGCCAGTTTTTGCAACTATCCAACTCCAGGATGGATCACAACCAAAGAAAATGTCACACTGCGATGCATAAACGTTCTCCTCTGTTTGACATTATGATCTATTCAAGAGACAAACCCTGGCTTGCAGGCATGTTTCTAACACAAGAACAGATGCGCAGAAGATCAGAAGCATCAACTGAACAAATATTTCCTCACATCATGAGTTTAAGAGCCGCCAAGCCACAAAGAAAAGAGGTGTGGTGGCTTAACTGCACCAGTTAATTTACAATGAGCTCATATCAAAACTGCGATTGTGTCATTTTAGTCATCTGCATATGAGTAAATGTTAATAGCAAGCCTACTCACATGAGACCCATTGTGCAAATACTCTCCATGCATGCTTGAGAGACTCAAGGACTCCACAGGTCACCAGTGTTGGTGCACCACACACGCCAAGAATTTACAAGGACAAGCTTAACGACAATTTTGGCAAGCGTTTCAAAGCATCGCACATCAACGCCTGCTGAAATAAAAAGCCCGTAGTAGTTTGTGCTTTAACTTACTACTTCCAGCATGCAGGTGGAATGAAATGCACCACCATAGAAGAGAAAGGGTGACGACTAAGAAGTGATGCAAGAGAGAGAATAAAATCTCTTCATATACAATTTCTATTGCTTGATTTTTATTCTAGATCAGTGTTTCCCAACCTTTTTTTAGTCGCGGCACCCTTTGGAAATTTTAACAAATTTGTGGCACCCTACAAAATTGATTTTGTCACAATATTTGAATTTCTAACTTCGATATGATACTTTGAAAAGTATCGTTATTCGGTACAGCAGGGAAGAACTGCAGAATGTGTCATATATGTATATGTGTGTCAGATATTTTTTATATTATTAATTTTTTTGTCCATGGAGGCAATCAGTAGGCTAATTTCTAATGAGGAGACCAATTTATATGACAGATTTTAATGTAGGCTTTTATTCATATGTAAACATTGTTTAATTACCATTATAACTTAAACTATCTCACAAATTTTTGCTCACTCTGTGTATTTTTGATTTTACAGTTGGGTAATTTTGTTGCAGTAGCACGAGATAGCTTGATTTCAAACTTTGAATTGAATAAAAAATGACAAGTAAACAGTCAGTAATAAAATAAGAACAAATAAAGAAATTAATAATGATAGCACAAATAAAAAACAACGACAGGCCTACACATTAAATAAATAGCTTTTTAGTTTTTCAGGTCTAACAGTAGGGCTATTAAGAGATTTAATTTTTTTTTATTATTTTTTTTTTTTTACCAATTATCCAAATAATGTTTACTCCTAGAAAGCTATTATTATCAGAACATGTGAGCATAACATAGTGGTTAGCAGATCAATGAATGAGAGGGCAGCATTACCAGAGATGCCCATATACCACACACCATGTTACAACACAGTAGGGCTATTGCAGACAGAAACAATACTGTACTACATCGATGTTTCCTGTCGGCTCGTTTTTCGAGTGGACTTTGCTGTTCCAATGAGCATGAACGGTATACGAGTGGAGCGACTGAGAGGAGCGCACACGCATAGAGCGGATAATGCACAGAGCGTCACACCACGTGAAAGTGAATCCTGAGCGGTGAACTAATTTTCTGCACCCGGAATTTCAGTGCATCTCTAATTATTAGCGACATCAGAAATGGATATTATATAATAGATGCTTTTTTGAACATTTTAGCAATTAAAAAAATATTAAAAATAATTTTTTACACGGCACCCCTGCTCTCGACAGACGGCACCCCGGTTGGGAAACACTGTTCTAGATAATGAATAATTCATAATAATTCATCCCTAAAATGAAAATTGTCTTCCATGGACCAAAGGAGAAATGTTGAAGAATAAAAGTATTCCATTGACTTGACTTGTTTGGAGGACAAATTATATGGGTTTATGGTGCTTTCTGTCTTTTGGAGCTCAGCAACCCGTATCCTTGTTAACTTGGATGGCATTCATAAAAACTTTTGTGTTGAACATAGGAAAGTCAGTTGGTTTTGAGAGTAAGTCAAGTTACCACCGTAAAGCTGAGGAGTCTGGGTCTGCTTTGCATCCGGAGCCGGCTTAAAGTTCCAGCATCATAATCCCTAACCTTCAAAGAATAATATCTCCTTGCTTTCTTTCACTAATTCTAAACGGTCACAGGAATGAAAACAGGATTATTTTACATGCCCCACACAAGACACCAACACAGCTAACCCAATGAAAGGAAACCCTGGCAACTTTGGGAACAGAAACAGTACAGGCCATCACTCTTGAGTGATAATCTGGCATATTTAAGTCTCTTTTAATCTCCCCCCCCCCCCCCCCCCCCCGCCCCCCCCCCCCCCCCCCCCCCCCCCCCCCCCCCAGAACAGTAACCGGGTGAACAAATTTGAGTCATTTTCAATTTAAAAGTAAAACAATATGGGTCTCATTTTCTAAATATAAACTTAATACGTTTTCTCCTTCGCCACATAAGAAATGCATAAAGCACAGCTGGAGTCTGTGTATTGCTAGTGATGTAGAATACCACGGTACATTAATAACTGGCTGACTTCAGAAATGGAGCCAGTGGTACCATTTCAAACTTAATCATAAAACAGCTACACATAATTTCTTGGCAGCCTACCTGCAAACAAGATTTTCAGAAAAACTAAAGGCAAAACAGATTTCATTGCATAAAAATGTCAAATAAACAACCATGATAGACAGACAGATAGACAAACAGGACACTTTATTTATCCCATATGGGAAGTGGTGACGTCCAATTGAATAAATACAAAACGGGTACATTACAAAAGACAATATATAAACATTATCATACACAAGAACCTACAGAATGTTAAGATGGAGAAGTAAACGGTCTCTTACCTGTAGCATGTAGTCACCTCTCCTGTGGATTTTACGCACGGGTATTTCGTCGTTGCGATTTTGTTCTCTGAACACACATCTCTGTAAGACAAAGAAGCCGTCAGCGGTTTCTTTCTACGTAAACACATCTGCCTCACGCACAAGAAACAAGCTTTCAGTCCTCTGAGTTCTTGTAAACAGCGAGCTGACAGCGCGCGCACTGCAGGGACACTTTACCTGTCCACATCCTCCTTCTCCTCTCGGAAAGTCCACGGCGTTCCCGATGAGAACAGCATTACAACCACAGCAAGTCTGAGAGGAGTTCCTCTGCCCGTGTAGCTCATTTCAGACACTCAAAAAAGATATTGGCCGTTTAAAGCTAGCGTCTTGAAGTTCAGCGTTACTTTGAGGAATTGAGAGAGTATTGATTGGTTACCTCCTGCGAAGCCCCACGCGCAGATTCCCACCGGCCCCTCCTACTCCCGCACTTGCTCAACTTCAATAGGCTCAGGAACGCTAGTTATGAATTTAATATTTAATAACTGCCACAGGTAACATTAAATATATTCCTGTGGCGAAATCCTTATGTGTGAGGTTTGAGTTAAATATTATATTACAATAGGCTACGTAAAAAAAAAAAAAAAAAATTTTTTAAAAATTAAATAAAATGTTTGTTATTATTATATATTTGACTGTTCAAGGACACAGCTATGTGTGCTGAATAAAATGGTGTAGAAATCATTTTCAATCAGAAATTGCAAAAAAATTTACAAAGAAACAGCAAGTAACACATTGAATTAAAGGTGACATTTTCATGTAGAAAAACTAAAATATTATATTATAATAGGCTACGTAAAAAAAAATGGACCATTTGATACCATATTTATTTGTTTGTTTGTTATTATTATATATTTAACTGGACACAGCTATGTGTGCTGAATAAAATGGTGTAGAAATAATTTTCAATCAGAAATTGCAAAAAAATTACAAAGAAACAGCAAGTAACACATTAAATTAAAGGTGACATTTTCATGTAGAAAAACTGAAATATTATATTATAATAGGCTACGTAAAAAAAAACTTTTATACCATATGTATTTATTTAATTATTTATTCATTCATTAATTTTTGTTATTATTATATATTTAAATATTTAAGGACATAGCTAAAGTCATATGTAAATGTATGATAATATGTGTGCTGAAAAAAATGGTGTAGAAATCATTTTCAATCAGAAATTGCACAAAAAATGACAAAGAAACAGCAAGTAACACATTGAATTGAAGGTGAAATTTTCATGTAGAAAAACTGAAATGGTATTTTCTTGTAAAACGTACTCCAGTAGTCTTTCTTTTATTTACAGCTTCAATTTTTTCAACATTGTACATTTATTTATTTATTGAGAAACTGAACAAATTTGATTTGAACTACTTAAGGACACAGCTGGAGTCATAAATGTGTGCTGATATGTTAAACGAACATGTGTCTCTCAATTAATTAGATACTAAAAATGTCAAGTATAATATTTAGTATAGAATAATTAGAAAAAAGGCTAACAGATAGGCCAGGTAGTTGACATTTAACCTCCCCATGTTTAGTTCTTTAAAAAATGCTGTACATTGGCAGCGCAAATGTAATGCTATTTAAAAAAAGAAGTGTAATCTGTGAAATAATGAATCTAGAAAATTTTGAAAATATGAAATTATAAAATAAATGTATGCCCTGTCATGACAATGACATAATTGAAAGCTCTCACACTGATTGCCCTCTAAGGTTAAACTAGGCAAATGAGACTGTGTTGGCTAACTGATTCCCTCACAACAGGGATTGTTTGCACCAATTCTTCATCCCTGACCTCTGACTGCTATGTAAGCTGTTAAGGGACCCAAATGTCCCACAAGGCCAGGGGACTGTTGTCACAAAAAGAATTAAGCTAATGGTACATGTATTGAATTTTGTAGTTATTTCTATGTTCGTGCCATTAATACCCCTGTGATTGATAGAACCATTTTAGTTGTGGCCACTGATGAACTGAGACTAACTGAAAGTTTTGCCCCCTAGTGGCTGACAAAGCAGCAGCTGTTTCTTGTTTGTAGTCTCCATTCCCAACCAGCAATAAATGAAGACGCTCTCGCCAGCAAACCTTCCTGATGACTAATCTCACATCTCATGAGATTGAGAATCATCTCTCATGAATAAGCAACTCTAAACATATCAGACGGTGTCGACCTCAAGTGCTTGGAGGCCCAGATAAATGATCTGCCTCCAAAAGGACGTGTTTCCATGGAGCTGTCTGCATGATGCTGCTGATGAATCTTGGCTGAGATTAGTTTTCGTGCCTTGCTTTTTTGTAGTGATAAACCCTGCTTGTCTTTTTCCTTCAACACTTTCATTGCAATCCAAGCTTCAGATTTCAGACACAAGGTTGATGTCCTCAGAGCCAATGTCTAGACTTTATGGAGACTTTAAGCTAAGTATCAAAAGTTCACTCATTGTTTTTTTCCTCTTAAGAAAAAAGAATGTGAATAAATTATTCTAATCTAATTTTTAGATCAAAATTATCCCTGTTAGTTGCAAAAAAACTGTCCTTAACCATGATTTCTTATCACAGCATGATTGCGGATATTACATTTTAAATTTCACTGACCCGACATTTGTTTTCAAATTCTGTCCAGCTGTTTTTATGATATTTTTGTCTCAGGTGGTTGCATAATGCATGCTGTGCTATTCAAACACCCAAACACCGGACAGAACAAGTAAACAGAACAAATTAATAGTTTTCAGACAGAGAACACCTGCTCTTTTAAGAATATTACTCCTAATCAAACATATATAAGCTATTTGTTGTTTTTAGTGTTTAACTAAGCATTTTATACAGTGTAACAGGACTGCATTAGTGATAAGATAACAATTGACCAATTCCTGTGCTGCGTAAGGCTAGTCTCATTTACATAAAACTGAAGAACTGTTTTGACACAGTGTTATGAGTCAGCCGAATTCGAAATGATACAAATATGTGCTAATGAGAACGAGCATGCTTGCAAGTTTTGTTTTTAATTAAGGCATAAGAAATAGGTCAAACCGAGCAGTGTAAAAACTGGAAAATGTGCACAGCCTTTAAAAGCCTTACAGATATTTTAATGTCACATGCAAATATTTGCAGCCGAGGCGAAACAGGTCTGTTTTTTTTTTTGTATGTGTGTGTGTAATGGGTTTAAAGTAGAGTTCCAAGGAAAAATGATTTGATTCATTGTACAGTAACTAATGTTTTGAGTCAAAAGTCAATTACACAAATGTGTTTCCTCAAGCAGAGGTTTTGTACACTTGCATTCGTTTTTTTTTTTTAAAGAAATTCATATTTTTATTCAGCAAGAATGCATTAGATTGATACAAAGTGACTGTAAAGACTTATACATTGTTACAATCTATTTCAAATAATAATAATATTTCAAAGTATTATAGTTTTTACTGTAATACGACCAGAGGCGGACAGTAACTAAGTACATTTACTTGAGTATTGTACTTAAGTACACTTTTTGAGTATCTGTACTTTACTTGAGTATTATTTTTTCTGGGAACTTATGACCATGAAGAATAGCTCTGGATTTTGAATCTGTGTGAAAATGTCTGAGAACAGAAAATGAAGTTGTGGTATTTACTACCGCTCTAGGCTACATCAACAACACAATCTGCATCCAGGAGGAAACCTACGATTTATATTTAGCACACACACACACACACACACACAGGTTTGTTTTTATGGTTTAAAAAACCAATTCTGTATGATTTATAAGCTTGTTTCCTCATGGGGACCTCAAAGATGTCCCCACAAGGTCAAAATTTCCTAGTATTACTATCCTTGTGGGGACATTTGGTCCCCATAACGTGATAAATACCAGGTACACACACACGCACACAAACAGATGAAAATCTTGATATTTGCAGTCTGTCGGATTTTCTACCTCACATTACCTGCCTGCCTGGACACTAAATCTGTGAACCAAGATTAACTCTCACTGTCGCTACAGCAAGCCATTTTGGATTAAAATGCTCATCCTGTCATACATGTGCACTTTATCATCTGAGATCAGTTGTATTATTACCTCTTATTGTTGTTAATGCTCGGATAAGGGCAGAAGGCATCTCTGAAAAGCTCTGACCCAGAAGAACGCGACAGAATCTGCAGTTGTAGTACCGCTGTTGACCGCTAGATGACTCTTCAACTCCAGGGCAGCGCTGCACACCTCCGTCATCGTAAACAAAATGGATGACCAGTGTTATAAATACCGGGGTGCGTCACGACTAGGGAGGGTGCCTGCTGTGCCATTTAAGTTTCTGCAGTTTTGATGGCTCAGCAGAGAGGAGGAAAAGGGATGATAGATAAATAGATAGAGAGAGAAGGGTCATTATGTCTCCAGGTGCAAACATCCCTCACACAGCCGGTCTTAAGAAGCGAAGCATTTTACTGGGGTAGAAGTAAAATGTTTCGTGCAAGTCATTTCTTGTTGTGTTGTTGTACAATGTCACTGTGTGTGTGTGAATGTGAATAACTTTAAATAAGTTGTGCAACTGCAAATGTGTCAACGCTTGGGTGTTCTGTTTTCACAAAACACAAAGTACGCAGTAGGCCTGTTTTTAAATATGCCACTTTATTGCAGTAGTTTAATTTAAAGAGCACATTTGCTGGACTAACGTGAATGAGACTTTATTTTATACAAATAAAGAAGAGGAATTTATGATTTATTGTTGTCAGATTTTATTTGACTGTTAAAAATATGAGATATCTGTGGAAGCCCGCTGAGCTGAAAAACAAAAACAAAAAAAAAACAGGTAAACCTTAAACAGGTAAACTGGTCTTTGCTGGTTAAGCTGGAAGTAGACGAGCCAGACCAGCTAAAGAAGTGGCCAAAACGCCTCTAAAACCAGCCAACCAGCTTAGACTGGTTTTAGCTGTTTTTCAGCAGGGCATTTCTGCCAGAGAATAAAAAATACCATAGTAATTGCAACTTTTTATCTCAATACTCTGACTCTTCCCCCCTTGCATTTCTGAGTTTAACCCTCTAAAACCAGCCAACCAGCTTAGACTGGTTTTAGCTGTTTTTCAGCAGGGCATTTCTGCCAGAGAATAAAAATACCATAGTAATTGCAACTTTTTATCTCAATACTCTGACTCTTCCCCCCTTGCATTTCTGAGTTTAAAGTGAAGTGACATGTGTTAAGTATGGAGACCCATACTTGGAATTAGTGCTCTGCATTTAACCCATCCAAAGTGCACACACACAGCAGTGAACACACACACGGAGCAGTGGGCAGCCATTTCTTCTCCATCATGTATTTCTGTTTTGTTTTGTTGTTTGTTGTCAATGTATATGTCACCATTATGTGTATCTTTTCATTTATAGTGAATGAATATTGTATTATTGTTGGCTGTCTTTATGTTAGTTTTATGTTACCTGC